CTTTTTAAGCAGCGGCCAGAGGCTGGGCCGGGCCGGTCCACACCATCCAAGGAGGGCACCAACATTGTCACTCGCTCCACCGTGCGGGCCGGGCCGCCACCCACGCAGGGGAGCCTGAGCCGGTGCCCCTCTTCCGCGCCCTCGGCAGGTGAGACCCTCGCTCCCCACGGAGTTCTGTTTGGGTTTCCGTGGCGTTTGTTCCCCGCAGGTTTGTTTGTTTTTCTTCAAATTACAGATGCAGGGAAAACCGCCTGACATCATGAGAGCGGGACAAACGCTCACTTTGAAGGATTCCTGGGCAGAACTTCAAGTGAAATCATATGCCTGAGAAGAACTTGATACCGGTCTAGAGAAAATAACTAGTTCTGACTTTGCCAAACCGTGGAATGTGCAAAATGCTCTACTTTTTTGCAAGAGGCCAAGTGTCCCTTAAAAAGCTCCATTATGAATATAAGCCTGAAGACAGAAGGGGCAAGAAGCTTCTGCCCCTGTCGAATGTGGGGGAAAAAAGTACTTACATAGTTTCAGCTATTTAATGGTATTTTATAGCTTGCACTTTGGGGAAGGTATCAGCAACTGTGCATGAATTATTATCTGTGCATATATTTAGCATGTATATGCACTAAAAGGATAACTATGTGTATATGGGAACAAAAACTTATAAGTATCTTATCACTTGAAATTTAAAACAAGATAAAAAGAATTATTTTCACAATAAAGGAAGCAATCTTAATTCAATTTTTAAAGAAGCCACCCAAGATCTTTTTATACAATACTTTCCCCTAGTGAATGCATTCTGGTTGAAGGGCAAAGACCTTGAATGTAGCCACATTAAATGAAAAGAGTTAGCTTCTTAGTGATGAAAAAGTGGCAATTCGTTTGATGTGATCTTTAAATAAGTGTAAGTAATAAATAAAGTGAAATGAAACAAAATGAAAAGAAATAATGGTGGAAGGGAAGAAACACAGGTGACTTATTACTACTCTTTAAAAATAAGCATTTATATAATGTGTACAAGGGGTAGGAATGCAAAAATAGTTTGCAAGCTGAAAACTATATTTGAGAAATTAATGTTTTCCACTATGAAGTCTCCTCAAAACTGTTTACCACCTTTCTTTTGTTTATTTATTTATTGCTCTGAAAATCTGGAGAAAGATTATATTCAGTTTTGTGTTTAGTATTCCTCAATACAAATGTAGCATTTGTTTTCCTCCAGATTTTTTTTGAAAAAAAAAAAAAGTAAGGTACTATTAAAAAAAAAAAAAAAGAAGATAGTAGGCTCTCTTTCTTTGAAACATCTAATATTTACATCAAGAAGTAAGGTAGAGTTTACCTTGTCAGCAATGATGGTCAGCTCCATTCTGGTGTACATCAAGAAATCTGAAATATCAAATAGTCAGACCAAGCTAGTGAACAAGAAGGTTCCCCCATGAACAATTTAGAAAATGGAGGTAATTGGATGATACGCACAAAAGAGAGAATTATCATTTTGATGTTCTCCCTAATCCTACACACACATACACACACACACACACACCCCACAAAAAATACCCACACATCCTATGGATATACTTCCCTTTTCATTATTTGATAAAGGACTATCAAAATCCTAATAATCATAAAAGTAATAATCATAATCCCCAGCCTTCACTAATCCTTTAATGTAAGTAAATGCTACAAGCTTATTATAAAATACAGTCTAAAATATTCACAATAATAAATTCATAATGATGTCATGTCAGCATTCTGTGGTGCTGTGTGAAGAAATAAAGAAAAATATTCAGGCAATAAAATAACCTCAACCTTAGTTAAGCAAACACAGTCTGTTCAGATACACATACTTATTTGACATACTCATTATTTGAATTAGGCACCCATATAATTTTCCAGTTTCATAGGTTCCCTAATTATAATTGAACATAGTAAACTAGATGTAAAAAAAAAAAAATTAAGAACTAAGTAGATAAGAATCATCACTTTTAATGATATTAATCATAAAAGTCAATATGTTCCCGGCCCAGAAATAATCAGAATGAAAGAAAAATCAAGCACCATTTGTCCTCATTATTGTTTTTCATTACTTCATGAGATTATAGGGGTGTGTGTATGTGTGTGTGTGTGTGTATCTTCATGGGAAAATACTATGTAATTTTGAATAGAATATATTTGCTAAAGAACTAAACTAGAAACTGAATGGTTATGCATTTACAACAGTAATTGTTCCAACAGTTACCAAGGATACTGAAAACTCAGGTTGTTTATTCATTGTACTTAGATGTATAATCTTTATGTGTAAATTAGGAGCATACTTCTCAAACAGATAAGAAAAACAAAGTGAAATATTTTCTTTTTAGCAAACATGACACTGAATGTCATACTTATTCATGAAATAAAAGTTAAGCAAATTGTAAGTGAAATTGTCTCCTGCTGAATTTTTCATTTTCCAAGCATTTGTATTTATTTGTGTATGTAATGTTCATAACACATTATTCTTTCACTGAAATAAACATTTAAGAATCCTCATCTTTAAGAGTGGAGGGAATGACAAAAATATATAGTAACAAGAGAAAACATTGCTAGTTTTGTACTGTTTATCTGAATGTTTTAGAGCTGTTACTTGAAATTATAAGAAAGAGAAGCAAAGTGCAAATTAATTTGCTCATTTTTTTGCTGCTGGAGGATTGATAAGAAATGGAGAGATGCTATTAAGCTCCACTGAAAAGCAAACTGGAATAATAATAAAGCTGTCTTTTTAAATAACATGCCTGTGCCTGTCAGTAGCTGGTTTATTTGAGTTTTTCATTGCTTTGTTTATATTAGTGCCCCCTCCCTCCTGGGTGCCTCTGGAGTTAAACAAGCAGGTATTTACCACCAACATAATCCTGAGCTTTAAAAATATAGACCAAACTCTTAAGATTCTTAAAATTTTCAATCATATTTATTTATTGCAGAAAAATAATATACAAAGATATTTACAAAACAATCATAAAAATATGAATGCATTTAGACACCGGATCTATTTGCATTTTACCATGGGTCATCAATAAATAAATAGAATGTTGTTTTTTTTTTTTGTATTTTAAGTATTTATTTCCCTCAGAGGAATGAAAAAAGGAATTAACTGACTATGATTTTTCTGGCCAGTTTTATCCTAGTACGTTTATTTCTAAAGGTATTCTTAAAATTCCTCTGATTGTTACCATTTTAAAATGGAGAAAGTCCATAATGATGCCTTTCCTTTCAGTGGCTGATTGGCACGACCTCTTGAGAATGCATGCATGAAAAAATAAAAATAAAAACATTCTTCGTCAAAAAAAAAAAAAAAAAAAAAGGAACACAAACAACTGTTCAGACTTCTATCAGAATGTAGAGGTGTGAGGATGGTGCTGCTGCCCATCTGGGATCACTGTCCACGGGCCTGTCTCGCTTTCTCTTTTAAAAGTGCGCCCCACGCCCTGTTTCTTTGAATTTGGGTTCTGCTCTTCTAATTTCCAAGAAAATCTTTGGCATATATATTTATTTTTAGTTATCCAGCTCCAGAGTCTCTAGACTGTCCATTTTCTCCTTCTCTGGAAACAATGACATCTGCAAAAACCCAGAGAGGGGGGAAAGTTGGTTATTGTTTAGGTCTCTGCCGCTGTTTTCTAAAACTAGTGAGCTCTGTTATCACTACCACCGAGGAATTATGCTGAAGAACCTGGAAGGATTTCAGCTGGAGGGCAAGAGGAAGTGGGTGGGCGGAAAGGAGGAGGTGGAATTTGGGAACATTTGTTTTAAGAAGAACAAAATTTAAAGCCAAAAGAAAGGGAGGCCCTGGCAAAACCATCCCTTCCCTTACCCTTGAACCTTGAGTCTTTCTCAGTCTCCCCTCCTGTCGGTCACACACACTCACGCACACACGCACACCTTTCACAGGGGCGCATACCCCTGGGGACTCTCTCCCCACCCGGGGCTGAACTGATTTCCGGGGACACTGGTGAAATGAGATAGCGGTGTCTGGTTAGGTGGAAAGGCTGAGAAGAGAGTGCGAGAATGGGAAGGCGGCGAGGTGGGCGAGGAGCCGCGGCCTGGCCATTCGACTGTCCATCACCTGAGCGACAAAGAGTCGCTGAGGCGCAGGTCCTTACCTAGGTCTCCGGCCCTGCCGAGGGGGTGGGGGGCTCCGCCTGCTAGTGGGACGCGGACATGGACCAGGCCCCCTCCATCCTCCAGACCGAGAAGGCGTAGCTGAGCCGCTCGTGGGCCACATAGCTGCAGCTTGCCATCTTGGAGTCCAGCTCGTCGCTTTGGAGGACCTGGTAGAGGAAGTCGATGTACCTGGCCGCCAGCTTGAGGGTCTGAATCTTGCTCAGCTTGTCCGAGGGCAGCGTGGGGATGATCTTGCGCAGCGCGGCGAACGCCTCGTTTAGCGATTGCGTGCGCTGGCGCTCCCGCACGTTGGCCATGACCCGCTGCGTCTGCAGCTCCTCATACGACTGCGGGCTCCCGCCGCCGCTGCTGCTGCCGCCGCCACCTCCCGCGCCGCCGCCACAGCCCGCAGACTTTTTACCGCGCTTGCCCTGGGCCGGGCTGCCCGGCTCGTCGCCGGCTCCGACGCCCCCGCCCGCGGCCCCGCCGGGCCCCGCGCCGCCTCCCGCGCTGCGCCGGCTGCTGCGCCGCTTGCGCGCCCCGCGCTTGCCGCTCGGCGGCTGCTGCCGGTCCGGCTCCTCCTCGCTGTTGCTTAGGCTGTCGTCGGCCGGCGAGACTGGCGAACTGGACACGTCCTGCATCATCTCTTGAGCTGCAACGTGCGGCCTCGCGGGCCCGGGGCAGAAGGGCAGCCCGGGAAAGAGGAGGGGAGCGGGGCGCCTCAGCCCGCCAGCTTCCCCAGCGCGCGGCGCCGGCCCGGGCGGTGCGGCCCGCCGAGGTGGGAGCGGGAGGAGGGACAGTGAGGAGACCTCCGCGGGGAGGGCGCGCGGGGGAGGCGGGGAGGGAGGCGGGAGGGGGAGGGGACGGTGTGGATGGCCCCGAGGTCCAAAAAGAAAGCGCCCAACGGCCGCACGCACACCCGGCTCGGCCTCCGGGAAACGGTGCCGGTGCTGGCGAGCCCGCGAGGTGTCTGGGAGTTGGGCGAAAACTGCAGACTTGGAGACTCTTATACCTCCGTGCAGGCGGAAAGTTTGGGGGCAGCAGTGTCATTGGCCTGACGTGGGGAGGAGGGACTTTTCGAAGTTTTATAGGAAAGTTTCCGCTTTCCAACCCCCCTCCCCCGTCCCACTCCCCCCCCTTCCTCGGGGTCTAACAATTCGTCCTCCCAAACCATTCAAAAACGACCTGGCCCGGGCGGCCGGCCCCTCCGCCCGCCTCCTTGCTGCCCTCCCCCTTCCCTCTCCGCCAGGAGAGGGGCGATTTCCTTCCGTGCCGTAGAGCTAGGGAGCGCCCCCGCACCCTATCGCAGCGCCGGGAAACGGCCAGAGGGGACTGTGCTGGCCGCTGTAGCTGCCCCAAACGGAGTGGCTGTGACAGCAACGGTGGCAACAGCTTCTACGCAGTGGGTGATGTCTCATCCCTCCTCGGATCCCTATAGGTCTTTGGGGCCGGTTTGGGAGTCCTGGGCGCGGGGAAGAAGGGGTAGAGTGGCAAGAAAGTGTCAACCGCGGAGTCCACCCAGTGGTCAGGTAGAGGAACTCTTGGGGTCCCCAGGGCTTAACCGCGGCGGCCGGGGCTTAAGGTCGAGGGCGTTTCTGAGGACGTGGCTGCGTAGCAGGGGCTGTGGAGCTATGCCCCGGCCTGCTCTCTTACCCCTCCGGGAGAAGCATCTGGGCCCTCCTTTTCCCTCTGCAGTGACACAATGTACAGCCTCTCTGTACCCAAAGGACTGCGCCTCTGAAAGTGTTAGAGGCAGAAGTTCATTCTCTCCCCTACCCCTACCCACACAACGAGGGAAGCCTTGTCTTTGGGGAAGGAGCAAAGCTGGAGGAGGGCAGCACACGCCTTCACCGCGGCCCGGTTACCCGGCGCAGCAGCCCAAGGTGGAGAACCCTTTGACCATTTCATCCCCATCGCACCGCCAAGTCAGTCTCCGCATGTGACCTTGGAAGGTCAGTTCATCAGACAGTGATGCGGGGATTCGATAGCGCCTATACTTATGGGGCTGCCTGCTCTTGAGAGTACCCATCTTCCAGCTCCCCTTCCAAAGAGGTCCAGTGGGCAGTTATGCTCTCAACGCCCCAAGTGCATTCCAATTATTTGAACACGTTTTCACTTTAAGCATTTCTATCTAGTGAATTAAATCAAAAATCCCCAAAGCGGGTGTTCAGGCAGATTCTGGTAAACTGGAAGTAACAAAGTTGAGCGGGAAGAGAAGCCGCTGTGGAAGAAAAGCCCATCTTGGCAAAGCTATCCTTGCTCCCTTTTGGAAGGAGTTGGGGTGAAATAACAGTTTCATGTTCATCTTTTACATTTTAAATCAAACAAAAGACCAAAGGCAATAGTTTAGGGCAGATTTGGGGGGCACCCAGTTGTGTGCTTCGCCCTGCACAGGCAGAGAGGTCCGCCCACTGGCTTCCTAGTCCGAACTCGCGGGTGGGAACTGCTAACTCAGCAAGCACCCTTTTCTGGGCTGGACCGAGGGTCTTGGCCACGGATGTTCCGAGAAGGAGGCGGGAGCCCAGGCGACGCGCAGGCAGGCCACGTGGCTGTGCCCCGCTGAGGCTCGCAGCTTCGGTCCCGGAAACCCTGGGGTTTGGAGTTCTTTGGGCCGGCTGAAAGGCTAAGCCTTTGTTGGGGTGTGAGGGCAAGAGTTATCTCTCCCGCGAGGGGTAAACAGTACTGTGTTTCCAAGGGATGGGAACCCTGCTGGGGTTTTCCTTCACCATTTTCACAGAAATATTCAGAAACAATGACCGCAGCATGCCGATTGGCCTGCTTCTGGAGCCGCTGCCATATTTTAAAATGACAGCCTGTCAGAAAATCAGATTCTACTTGACCTCCACTTGATTTCAATAGCACGAAGGCGTTTCTTGTCAAAGCAAAGTCATCCCGTGCACCCTTGTATTTGCATCTTCTGCCTATAGGATTTTATCTCTTGGAAACAGACAAGGCAGAAATTCTGCTCCATTCTCTACCAAGTGTTCTCTTTTTTTAAAGTCTGAATTGCAGATTATTCAAAAATTCTTATTTTGAACGAGGCTGCAGAAATCTTGAAAATTTTCCACTTTAGCTGTCTTTTTTTTTATGCTAATATCAGTCTCAAATCTTACTTTTTTTTTTCCCCCTGTAGTTGAGTCTCAAAAAGAAAGAGATCGAATGATTGGACTCTTTCCTTTGTGACCGGGGGTAAGCAAGACAGGAAAGTGTGGGCAAAGTGTAAAGGAAACCTTACCTGACCAAAGGGAATTGGGGAGGAGGAAGGGTCCTACAAGGTGGAGGAGAAGCAGAGTCCATGATGGTGCAGCAACCAGGGGTCATTAGCCAGTGTGACTTGCAAAGTCATCAATCTCTAAGACAAATTCTTAAACAAGGGAGCCTAGTACTTCTCTGGCACTAACTTCCAGCGGGTGAATGGCTCCTGGCCTTCTGTAGATGGACCTCACAGCTGAGGCCAAGCTCTGGATGCCAGAATGCTTAAAGAGAGTTTAAAATGAATGACCTAACCAGAAGTATCCTGGCCATGGAAGCTTCCCAAAAGGTCACAATTGATGACTTCAGTTCTAAGACAAAATTTCTCTTGAACTCTTGCAAGGAGTAGAGGATGAGACCAGTTTTTTGAGTTCTTAAGTGAGGCTGGAAAATTACATTTTGAGCAAAAGTAGTAGCTTGCTAGGTGAATTACCTTTCAAAAAATGCCTGGGGCTGGATAATCTTTGCTTTTGCAAACTGCAATATGCCAGTGGCAGGCTGTCCACTCTGTTTATGTATAGTGGGCTCTAACATTTTATCTAACAATTTTCTTTTCCACACTTGCTGGAGCAAGAATGGCTTTTTTTTTTTAATGTGCTGACAAGCCAGATATAATTCTGGATATCTCATATATGCAACAATAATTTTAATTTCCACAATGTTTTGTTTAATATGTGAAAGCGTACTTCATTCTGAAATCCAAATTTCAGGCTTTTGAAAATCGTGTTAGGAGTTTTTCTAAGAGGACTGAACTTGGTCTGGAAGGATGTCAGTGGAGGACTACCTTCTTTGGCAATGCTAGATTAATTGGGATTCGATCATTTTGTCTACTTCTAAAATAAGGTCCCTGAAAAAAAAATTTAACTGAAAGCAAAAAAAAAATTTCTTTTGCACTTGGATAATTAAAAAAGAGCTTTGTTTTCAAACTGCAAACTTGGCATGTTTGCAGTCCTTCCTGAGGAATGTGTGCTGTGTTAAAAAATTGAAAAAAAATACTGTTAGAAGTTACAGAGCTAGAAATCTCATACTGAGCAAATGCAATAAGTCTCTGTATCCTTACAGTTTGAATATGCACTGACATTCTCTTAGCAGCAATGAATTATAAATACTCTCAAATAGGGAAAAGAAATGCACTGTAGAATTTTTAGTAAGCTGGTAAGTTTGGGAGTTTGGGCTTGTGCAAAATGTGGGTTCTCCAATCTGTTCCTCTGCTTCGTTCTCTTTAGATGACTTGTCACCTGTTTTTTTTGGCTTTGAGTTCTGTGAACTAATTTCTCTGAATTGCCTAAGCGAAACCCAGGAGCATTCCTACAGAAGGGGGCGCAAATTGGAAGGGTTGCAGTTGAGTAGATCTCAGATGAGGTTGTACATCATAGGTTGAATGGTATTTGAACACTTTACAAGAGACTGCCCAATGTGTTATTTAAATGACAGAATTTGATTAAAGTGGAATATAAAGTCTGTGTCTGCGGGAGTGAAGGAATTTGACAACTCTGTGTAAAAGGAGATTCTTCTTTGATTACCCAGGTAGTCTTACTGATGTTTGAACATCTTGCCCTAAATAAGAACTCATTCTTTCTCTTTTAATGAGGTGGTTTAATTTGTGAACATAACTAATCCTACCTTTCTTTTTCTGAATTTTTTTGATCCTACCTTTCCTTTCCTGAATTTCTTTAAGAATAAGGAACAAATAAAATTATTTTAAAAAGAAATTAAGGAGCATCTCAAATGAGCAAATGGAAATTTCAAATGGATATTAATCATTAAAATGTCTGACATTTTGTTCTCAAATTGAAGATTGAATAAAGAGACATAGGGGGAACAGGACTAAAGTTTGGTGTGGAAATATGTGGGGTCTTGAATAACATTTTGCCCTTTTTTTTTTTTTTCCTAACCGTATAGGAAAGTGCAGCCTGTCCATTGGTATCCCATCTCAACTGCCAATTAACTTTGTTGATATACATGCCCACAACTTACTACAATGAGCTGCTGGAATAACTGAAAAAATAATGTAAGAAACGTACAGTCACTCATAAGACTTATCAATGTTAGTTGTGCTGCCTAGTAAGCATTTGTGTGTCTTTTAACCATCCAATGATTGGTAATTTAAATACAAATCGAACAATTTTGATGTTTTCCTAATTAAAGTTCCCTTCAGAGACTCATACCCTTTATCTTTCTTTGCTGCTTCAGGGGATCTTCTTTTCCTGAAGTTCAGAGTCCTAATTCCATTGTTTGGTTTGGTTCTTCCCTCAGAAAACATGTTGTTTTTGCCAGTGACCACAAGAGGACACAATTTCCCAGAGAACTTAATTTAAAAAGCTCATAGAAGAAAGCTAACAAAATAGCAGAAATACCACACAATTAATGAGTATCACTTTGGAAATGTTTGGTTGATTTATATGAATTTTATTGAATTTTAAAAACAAACATGCTTTATTATTGAAGCTTTAGATGTTTCTAAGATACCATTTTTTCCTTATTTAGGCCCCAAATAAAAGTATACATTTCTGAAAATATACAAAAATGCTACTGTTGTAATTCAAATAAAAATGTTTATAATACACTAGTACAATTTTGTACAAAATTCTTGATGACATAGAATTTTAGTTAATTTTAAAGTCATGCTTGGAGATGAAAAATAATGAATATTTCAAAATGCAATAGAAAGTTTGAATTTTCAATTTGGTTGTCTGGGGTGTTTTTATATAGAAAATTCCACAGAAACTATGTTTTGTAGTTTGACAAGTGCATTTAAATGTGTATAACAGGTTAATAAATTATTTGCAGAAATATGAAAATAGAATTTCTTAAGATACTTTCAATACACTTCCCCCAAAATATTATATGCAATATTTTATTTAAGATATTTTTCCTCTCTCTGCTTCCTTCTCTTGAAAGGTTTGAGAGCATTGGCTTACTTTGTAAATTAAAATGAATTATGTCTTAGATATTTTTTTTCTGGAAGAATTTAATCATTCTGCTGGATTGCTAGGACAGCTAGGCTAGAGAATCTTGCTTCAGTTTCAGCTTAAACTCTTGCATTACATTTGTTTCTTAGAGCAGATATGTCCCTAATCACATTCTCTGAGACTTTGCTGGAGGAACTGGCAATCAACCAGAGACCTGGAAAAAGAAGAGGAAAAAGGAAGGGAGGGAGGAAGGGAGGGAGGGAGAGAGAAGGAGAATAACAAGGAGGAGATCAAGAGAGATGGAACGAAATCTGGGGAGAGGGTGAAAGAGGGAGCCTGGGCAAGTAACAGTGATAGAAAGCAAGAGATAATGAAGCTTGATAGTAAGGGAATGGAAGGCTAAAATATCAGAAGAAAGAAATTAATACACTTTGTAGGAAATAGGAAAGCACCCAGATTATTAACCTCTATGTCCTCAGAGACATTGTGGCAAGTAGTTGCCTGTCCTTTGGCATAGACATTTAGTTTTAAAAATCTTTGTCATCCTTGCCCAAGTTGTAATAACAAAAGACAGGTTGAAATGTCATGAAACTTAATTCAAGTTGATGCCCACCTCCTGGGTGTTCTCTTCCCTAAATTAGGGTAAAGATGGTAATATGTTCTCATTACTGGATCTCAGGGTGTATCTCATCTAGGGAATACTGTGTTATTCCTTCATAAAAACTGCTACTAACCATGATAGAATTTTAGAAATCCTATTTAGTTGCCTAGACTCTTAGCTCATAAGTTATTTTCTTTGACCTACACAATTAAAGTCAAGTTGTTTTTTTCTTGTGGCAAGTGAGGCTCCATGCCTTTGCCTTTCCCATCTTAGTTACCTTAGGGAAAGACAGCTGCAAGAGATGAGACTTATTCTCATTCACTGTAGTCAAGACCTTGAGAAACTGTAAGATTCTGTTTTTTTGGGGCATTCTGAATTCTGGTTTCAACCAGCATCAATTAATAGCTATGTGCCTATTGATTCTTTTGTAATTTGACAAAAATGTGTTGATATCTGTTATTGTGGTTGTGTTTAAGAGTAGAGATATTTCCAGGCAATATGAAGTATATTTAATGAAGATTGAAAAAAACAAAACTATCGTGAGTACTTTAGTGGCAATTTTAACTTCACAGCAAGTTTCAAGACTGAGGAGAAGTAATAATTAAATATAACTTAAAAAAAACTAAAGATGTTAATTCTCAAGCAAGTAGGCAATAATTTTTAATATCTGGGGAACAGATATGGCAAATGAATTGTATTAATTAATTTATTTTTATCCAGTCCCTCCACCACAATAGACTATAGTCCAAAATAACCTTAGGAAAAATAAACTTCTAGATGTAAGTAACATTCTTTCACTGTTATTTTCATTATATTGATTCTTATATAAAAGTTGGGCATTCAGATATTTTATAGAGAATTATTAGATATTTTAAATACTTTTAGATTTAGCCAGATTTTGTGTTGTTGTGACCAAAAGAACAATTAGAGGAGGAAAAGTTTGTTTAGGGCTATCAGTTTCAGAGGTCTCAGTCCATAGACACCTGACTCCATTGCTCTGGGCCTAAGGTGACCCAGAATATCATGGTGGAGAAGCATGGCAGAAGAAAACAGCTCAGAATGTCACAAGCAGGAAGCAAATAGAGCTTTACCCTACTCCTTCCAACCATGCACTTACCTGTCTACAGTTATACCCACTAATCTGTATGAGTAAATTCATGCACTGATTATGTTAAGGCTCTCACAACTCAATAATTTCACTTCTGAACATTCTTGTATTGTCTCACACATGAGTCTTTTGAAGATACCTCATATCTAAACCATAATACTTTGTTAGAAAATTGAAAACTTTTTTTTAAATTGGAGAGAATTTTATGGCAAATTTTGAAAGACAGAAAGCCAATCCAACTTTACATATGAATACATCAGCAGTAGAATTTGTAATCACAGTCCCTAGTTTTACTGTTTCTCTATGTTAATAGGTATGTCAGAGATTTGCTTATTAGAATAATGCCATAAAATAAAAACACAGTTGGTAGACTATTGCCTTGCATGCACAAAGCCCTGGGTTCCATCCCCAGCACCAAAAATAAATAAATAAATTTAATTAAAAACAAAAGGAACCTAGGTAATCTTTAAGGCAATTAGATTAGATGATCATTCTATTTTCATTTATCATTAATGTCTTAAACCATTATAATTATAGAACTGGGGAAACTGCTTATAAAAAAGCAAAAACTCAGAGTACTAGGACTATAAGAGGACTTAGAACTTCTGAATGCCTCTTTCTTTTCTGGCAAGGAAGAGTAACTGTAGAGAACAGTGTAGTGGAGAAGAACCTGAATTCTGGAGACAGTCCACCTGGGTTTATATGTGATTCTCTTCTCAATGCCTGAGTGACCCTAGATAATTTGTTTACCCCTCCATGCTTCCTATGAAAGGGAAGGAATACTGAGTATCATTAGGTTGGTGTGATGACTGGATTAATTGATAAGGGCTAACTCCTTACAATGGTGGCTGGTACTTGGTATATGTTTGATATTATTATTTTGAATAAGGATTAAGTTATGCAGGAGCTTGACATTAAGCAATAGCATTCAATTCTAAGTGCAAAAGGAAGGATTTAAGGGGTAAATGAAATTAATTGATGATCCAGTTCTGTTTGAAGAGCAGCTAATTTTATATCCATGCATCATTCCCTAAAGACTCAAAGTTCAGGAAAAGGACACTAATTGGAGGAGGTTCAATCATTTATCCATGTCCTATCTGTCAAGGAATGGTAGCAGGAGGCATGCTATCTCTTCAACTTCTGAACTGTGTGGAATCTTTTTAGCTGTTATCTTCAACTGTCTATGAGCTACCATAGTGAGTTTCTTACAAACATCTCAAATTTATCGCTATTCTCAAATAACCTAGTCTTCCCATCAGTGCAAATCAGTACATTTTAGTAGATATTTGATTGTTTAGCCTAATAATATAGACCACTGTCAATTCTCAGTCTTTCTCAGGCCACCTTTTTCATCCAAGTCCTCATGAAAGGAGTGTAATCTCCCACTAAGACTCACATATATCTTCCTGGATTCTAAAATTACTCAATAAATACCTCTGGTCTTTATCACCTAAACATTATTAACAAATAATTGGGACACTATCCTGTTTTGTATCATAGCACTAGAATCACATGACACAGAACAAGTATTGGTGAGCAGAAAAACCTGCAATAAAGCAAAAATTAATTGTAAACTCTCTATTTTATGTTCTTTGCAAAGAAGAAGTTAAGTCATTGACCCTGAGCTGGAAGAAGAGGGTCTTTCAACTGTGTAATTTAAAAATAACAACAGACATTTGTGTAATAAAGCAGGAGAAAGTGAAGTACCCAGTCAGAGGCTGTGGCCATTAGAATAAAAGAACAGTTTATTTTTTGACTGCTGAAATATCATTTTTGTCTTTTTGATTCCTCAGGATGACACATCCATTTAAGGAATGGTCCATTCTGATCATAACTCATGAGTATTTACTTGACCACAATATCCTTGTCCAAGAAGGAATAATGTTGACATAGAACTGAGCCAACTTTGATGTCACATGTGGGCTTTTCTTTGGGAGGAACATAGAGACTAGTTAGGAGGTCATTGCAGTAATCTAAGTGAGAAGTGACCTAAACTTGGCTAGTAGCAGTGGAGTTGGAGTTGGGGGGGGGGTGGTTAGATTCTAGATATATTTTGAAGGTAAAGCCAACAGGATATACTAAAAATAAAACATCAAGTATGAGAGAGAGAAATCTTAAGTCTTTTGATCTGAGCAAAAGAAAAGGGGAGCTGGTAACCACTGAGATAGAGAAGGTTATGGATGTAACCTATTCCAGAGGAGACAGCTCTGTTTCACACATGTTAAATTTGAGTTGTCAGCTGGAAATCCAAGTGGAATTGTTGGGAAGCAATTGGATATGTGAGTCTGAAGTTTGTGGAATGGAGGTAAAATTTGGAATTCATTAGCATATAAATAGAATTTTAAGCTATGTAACTGAGAGATGTCACCACAAGTGTGAGTATGTGTGAGGAAAAGATGAGGACTGAAACTGAAAAACAATTATGATCACTGCAATGGAGAGAAAATAAACCAAAGAAGGGACATAGGGATTTATGGAAAGAGGACAATTTATGGTAATATTTGTGAAATTAGAGATAATTCATTTTCCTAAGAAAAAACAAGGACAAATTGAAAACAAGCAATAATCAATAGTAAATGACAGAAAACATATCCAAATAATAACAGAGTTCATAAAATGGAATAGCACACTAAATTCTGGGCCAAGTTCATGAAAGCAGATCTATAACCATAAATATTCTCAGGATATTTTTGACTATTAAAGATATTATCTTATATAGGTATCCAGGTAAGGAAAATTAATCATCTACAAAGGAATGAAAATCAGGTTACCAAATGGATCTTGATAAGAACAAATGTCAAAGAATATTGTCGTCTAACAAGTTTATATACCCAGCTAAGACTGCATGTAAGTGACTACATGAAGTAAAAATATAGAAAGACAAAAGGGAAAAAAAAAGAGTCAAATACATTTTTAGCTTATTGAGAAAGATACTTCCAAGAACTGTGATGTATAGCCATGCAATAAACAAAGAGTGAGGTGTAATTAATTGTTTTAAAAAATGGCAACAAAAGTACAAAATAAAACATTCTTAAAAAAGAACATTTTATAAAAATGTTCATTTTTAAATACACATTTAAGTACAGAAAAAGAATGGAAATAAGTGATGTCAACAAAAGAAAATCAGGAAGACATTTAACAAAA